CCAGCGTGGAGTAGTTGGCGTTCATCTGCGCCGGGTAGTAGTGCTCCGAGCTCGAGTGGCTGGTGCACGACGAGCAGTCGTCCACGGGGTCCGAGCCGTTGCTGCTACGAGTCCGCGGGGTGTAGAAGTCGGGGCTCCCGGTGTCGTTCTCCGAGCCCAGGAGCTTGCCCTGGGACTCCAGGCTGGAGCTCCGGTGCCTAAAGTGCAGTGCGAGGCTGTGCAGGCGCGTGGGGCTGATGTCCACCGACCTGCGGGGAGACGCGGCGGAGTGGAGCGCCCGGGCGCGGGGCCCGGGGAAGGGTGCGCTGAACCTCAGGCGCGGGTGGCCCTGGGAACGGGATGCGTTCCCCGCCCCCCACCCCAGGGGTGGAAGGGATCTGCTGATTGCCGGGTCGCCCTCGGTCCCCCGGGGGCGGGACTCACAGGGTTCCTCTGAAAAGTGTGGGCCACAGCACACACCGTGGGAAAAATACATAAAAATACGATGCCGTAGATGGAGAACGAGACTCGCTCTTCTGTAGACTTAAGGTCTATAAAGCGGCCCTTTTTCTAGGTTAAAATCCGGCAGAGGCCCTTTCATAAATACTACCAAATAGTAACAAAACATTTGTTAACAAAATGTTACCACGAACCCCGCCTCGGGGGCGCCCCACTTCCCGAGCGGACCAGGGACGGTGGGCTGGGGGCCGGGGCCCTTAACGACGAGGGCACCGAGCAGCCAGCGGTCTCCTCGCCGTACAGGCAGAGCGGCGACCGTCGCCCAGGGTGGAGCTGGAAGCCCTGCTAGTGGCCCCCTGTGACCTGCTTCCAGGTTCTTTTTAGTCCATGAATGTGTGAGTCACTGATGCCGTAACTGTTGCTCTTTTCTTTCGCTCTCTTATAAAGTTACACCAACGTGGGCTTCAGTAGGAAGCTGCAAGGGGCATGAAGGTCACCCCCCCGGCCGGGGCGCCCTGCCTCGGAGGCGCAGTCCTGCGACCTGCTCCGGATGCCGGGGCTCTAACCCGTGTGCCCCGACGTGCAGGGTGGGCTGCAGCGGGAGAGAGACTTTACCTGCCTCGCGCACAGCCAGGCCTCACTGGCCCCCATTCTTTGGCCGGGCCCGCGGGCCGGGGCTCACCTCGTGGAGTGGACGTAGTGGGGGCTCCGGACGCGCAGGTCGGGCGTGGACGGCATGCTGGACTGCGCCGTCCAGGGTGGCAGGCCGCGGATGGGACTGTTCTGCAGCGAGCCGCTCCCGCCGCCTGCTTCCGCGCAGCTTCCGGTGCTGGGGAAGCGCTTGTGGCTGCTGCGGACCAAGGGAACCCCGCTGGTCACCCCGGGCGGCAGCAGGGCGCCCTGTGGCTCCCACACTCCCGCCCAGCCCAGGCGACGGGGGGCCGGGCCCTCCTGGCCCCCTCTGGCCGGCGCAGTGGGAGTGCGAAGCCGCCTTCTCACAGATTCTGTTTTCCAAGAGGTGCGTGCTCACCCGTGGGGCACCCGCTTGGAGCGCTTAGGGCGCAGCGAAGGGGAGTGAGACAACCGGAGACGCAGCCCGGAAAGGCTCCGCCGGCCACGTAAGAGCCGGCCGACGCTCGGGCTGCCGCCCCTTGGCTCCAGGGCGGGGCCGGAGGACGGTTGAGAGCGCTGACCGCGTTGGGCCGTCGGAGTGGGCTCTCACGTGCCATTCTGGGGCACAGCTGCCCAAGATTTCCTAACGAACGGCCGCGGAATTTAACTTGAGAGCCATCTGCCAGCGCGTCCGCTGTGAGCCCAAACCAGGTGCCCTCCGGGTGACGAAGCTGCGCCTCCTCGGGCTGGGCAGCAGGGGGCGCGGTGAGAGCGCGGGGCTGGGCCCCCGGGACTTGGCGTGGGCGCCCGAGGGACGGCGCTCGGGCCCCCGCGCCTTGCGCACGACTCACCTGGAGTGGCCGTGGGAGGAGCGCTTCTTGACCTTCTCGTAGGGCTCATCCAGGGAGGACTCGCTCCACATCTTGGGCTTGATGGGCGACTTGTCATAGTCGCTGCGGTGGTAGTGCATCTGCCGCAGGCCCTCCAGGGACTGGGGCGGAGGGGGCCGGCCGTGCGCGGGCGGCCGCGGAGGGAGGCCCTTGTGAGGAGACTGTAAGGGGGATATTGTGCTGGTGACCTGAGAGTCTTCTGCGCAGAGACGGAAAGACAGAGAGGACTGAGCAAGATCATCCTGTCCCCGAGGCCGAGCCCGAGCCCAGCGCCCCCCGGCAGAGTCCCTCCTGCGCTTCACCCTGTCACTGAGGGCCCTGGACTCCCCGCCCCCAGCTGTCCAGCAGGCCCGGCCCAAACAGCGGCCGAACTCACACTCCAGGCACGCTCAGATTCAAAGAGGAGTGTCGCTTTGTGCGATGTGCGCGTGGTGCTGGGGATCGAACCAGGACCTTCACACCGAGCTACCCCTCCAGCTGTACTCATCCGTTCATTGATTTAAATTTGTGCACAGGGTCTTGCTAAGTCACTCATTTGCCCAGGCTGGGCTCAAACTTTCCATCCTCCTGCCTCAGCCTTCCAGAGTGCTGGGATTCTGGGTGTGTGCCACTACTTCCGGCTGAGGTATCACTTCTGATTAGACATGAAGGAAGCCTGAATCTTAATTATACATCTGCAAATGCTTGCTCCATACCGAAGAGCAAAATGTAATTATTTACTGCAACTCTGCACTTCCTATTTTGGTGCTGGGGTGAAAGCCAGGGCCTGGTGAGCGCTGAGCAGGCGCTCCTACTCCTGAGATCCCGGCCGGCTGGCCTGGCTTTCAAGAGACAGTGAGCGTCTGATTTACTTCGGGAGCGGGTGAGCTCCCCGAGGTGCTGTCTGCTCTGTGCAGCGCTGCGGTCTCTGGGCCAGGTCGACCGCTGACCGTGGGTGCTCAGCACACGTGGGTTGGAGGGAAGCAAGAGCGCATAGCAGACACGGCAGGTGTGACTGTCTGTTGGATCTGGTTATCCACCTGCGTTTTTCCAGAGCTACCATATTTCCTTTGAATCTGCTCTAATAGATTTTAATTATGAACTGGCCTTCAGGTTTTTGGAAGGAGAAGGGCTAGTTTCCCCTGCCTTAGGGGAGTGAGGCTGCTACTCGGGTGTGCAGGAGGACATCCGGAGCAGGCCGAGCAGGTTAGCGGGGGAGGCGCTGTCCCGAAGGGACCTGAGGGAGTGCAGGCAGAGGAGCAGGGAAGGGTCCGGCCAGGGAGGCCAGGAGGGCGCGTGGGCACTGGGGACAGCCAGATGGCAGTGGGAGGGCGGAGCAGGTGGCCGCCCCACTGTGCGTGCTGCATTGGGCAAAGCCAGCGGGCAGGGCCTGGAATCCCAGCCAGAGGAGCTGGATCTGTCCTTGATGCACAAGAAAGCCTTGTTTCTTGGCAGGGAGGTACAGGTGAGGACTGTGCTGTCTGGAGGCCATCCGACCTGCAGGTTGGCCGAGGAGCGGCAGGGGGCCCCCTCGACCTGGGGTGGGCCCGCAACCTATTTTCAGCGACTCCTATTTGTGCAGTGTAATCCAGCCCCGACCTTGAAGCCGGGACATGTGGTGAACTCCTCTGCCCCACAGAATGGGCATCGCTCTGGTGTCTCACAATGAGCCCGTGACATCATCTGTTGCTCTGATGACTCCTCTCTTCCCAGGGAACCTCACTAACTGCGTCTTGCTCCCTTCCTGGGGGTCCTGGGGCACCGAGGCATCCCCAGGGCCAGGGTCTGGATATTCACAACAAGCCGCCCCAGTCCCTGAGAGTCCACATCTTCGCCTCCGTGTGAGAAAGCGAGACAGTAAAAATACTACAGTCTGATTGCTAATAACAGGGCCACTTCAGCTGGGTAAATAACTCACCAGGCTTTCCCCACATCAAAAGCAATCATTATTATTATTGCAATTATCCTTATTACCCTGACTTGGGTAGGCCTTTTATGTTTTCCATCTGAATAGCCACTGATCACTGACCCCTGAGGTTTCCCTGAAGGGCAAAACGTTAACTGCCACTTAATGTATTTCCATATAATTAAGGCCTCCCAACATTTTGGTTGAGGGAGCCACTTCGGAGCCTTCTCAGATAGGGTTCTGTGTTGGGATTCCTGCCTCCTAGGGGATGGTGGTGGGCGTGGTGCTGGGGACAGGCTAGGGGTTCAGCTTTGGTTTTCTAAGCATCTCCGAAGAACATATCCTGGGAACTTCCAAGTTGGAAGACTTGAACAGCAAATAAGAAGATAGTTTTCAAGGCCCGACCCTGTGTCTGCAGGGAGATCTCACCTTTCTTTGTCTCTTCTAAGAGTGGAACAGGGAGTCAGTCTGCTTCCCTCTATACCCTCAGGTCCCCCCCATCGGAGTCCAGTCCTTGACCTGTGATCTGAATCCATTTCGACTTGTGGTCAAAATGGATTTGGATCAACTCTTTCCTCTACATATTCTGAATACTCAAACGGAAACTACGTACAGAGTATAGATGCTCTGCTCAGTTGAAAATGTGGCTTTGGCTGCTACAGAGTGAAGCACCATTCACTGGGTAGCACCTCGAGAAATCCTGACGTTCCAGTGAACGTGGCTTTGGGGCAGAGAACACCCGTCTCCACCCGGGGGTGACCCAGGGAGGAGAAGGCTCACAGCACCTGGCTGCCACCTCACCTAGCTCTGCCCTTTACATGTCCCCATACTCTGCACAGGCCAGAGTCTGTTTAATCAGTGTCCCATCTTTTAAAACAGGAAACAGAAAACCTACCATCTTCAAGAACAAGGGCATCAGAGAGGGAGCTGTCTTCACTGGCGATATTTCCATCTGGAAGCCAAAAAAAGCCAAAGTCCCTGAGGTTAGCACATTCTAGAAACAAAGCTCTCTCTGTAGAAATAGTGTTTACCACCAGCGCAGCAGAGCGAGCACCCGTGATCTGTATAAAAACGCTGATGGGCATTTCCTTTGACCGCTCCGCGGTGGGTCGTTAGCTCACCCTCCCGCCTGACATGGCAATGCGCGCGCTCTTTGTGCCTCTGCACTTTTATTTGTGGGGTACTGCAGTGAGAAGCAACTGACTGTCTAACACAAAGGCAGCCTGGTTAAGCCTGTCACAGCGAAAACTCAGGGCGTGTGGTGCCTGGACCACGGGAAGGTGACTGCTGTTTATTCTGCAAATGTGAAACCAGGGCAGGGAGCTTAGCTTTGCTCACATGGCGATAAATGGCTTCTCAAAAAACCCCCCAAGTCATTAGCAGAGCAAACAAGTGCGCCACGCACAGGGTCTCTCTCTGAAGCTTATTTTCAGAGGCACCATTCAGTCAGCACTGGCCTGGAAGGAGACAGTGGAATGAGCCTTCTCCGTTCACCACGGGGAAACTGAGGCGCACCCGGGAGGAAGGGTCTGTCTGAAGCTGCCCTACTCTCCCAGCAAAGTCAGCAAAGGTCCGAAGGCCTCGGAGTCCAAGCTTAGGGTTTTACCTTTTGAAATAAAAACCCATGCTAAGGAACTAAGAAGAACCTTCCTCACTCCCAAACTGAGTGGGCCTTAGTGACCAAAGCCTTACTTCAAGGAATCAGCAAAGGTGAGTTCTTGAGCAGATTAAAAAACAAAGCTGTAGGCACGGATGAAAGGTTCAGGAGTTGGCACAGGTAATGGTTGGAAAGACCACCCTGTCGGTGGACCCAACACCGCCGCGGCCTGCCAGGGAGGCCGAAGAGCAGGCCCCGCTGTGGCCACGGGCAAGCGGTCACCCCGCACCACCCTCCCCGACTGTAGGCTTCGCAGGATGATTCAGGGACCGGGAAGGCCTAGTGCCTTCCAGGGGATGGAGAGGTTCGAAAGAGGGGGAGGCAGAAGGGCCGGCGGCTCACAGCCCTGCTAGGAAATGGGGCAAACCACGGGGTCTTGGCCAAAGACAACAGCGAGATGGAGAGGGATGGGTTTTCGGATTTCCTAGACACAAGGGTCTTTTTCAGATGGCCAGCTCCTCGCTCTCTCCCTCAGGCAGAAATTCACTTCATTCATGTGTTTGATAGGAACAACTGGGGACAGGGCCTTGACTCTAACCCTCAGCACTCCCTCCCCCCACCCCAGTCTCTTTCTTCTTTCTCTCCATATACACGCACACAGATAGCATATCAGAGTTATCGCTGGAAGTGTGTGGCTCAGTGATGTTCCATAACTCACTACTGTGTAATCCTCGGCACCAACCATCCTCTGTTGGGATAACATTTTCATCTTCCCAGGCTGACACGCTGGCCCCATTGAACAGTGGCTCTTTGCCCCTCCTCAACCCCGGTTCCTGGAAATCTGTTTTACTTTCTGTTTTCCTAGCACAGAAGTATTTTTAAGCATGCGGACACTGGGCAAAAATACGTGACATATATTTTCAAGAATTTGCTAATTTAGAAAAAAATGATTATCGAAGTGAGGGGAGACTTGATCTTTGTTGGTAGATTTTTGGGTATGTTCTTCTAGAGCTTACCAGATATCCTCGCCTGGATTCCTAATCCCGGACCGCAGCCCTAGGGCAGACCCTCGGAGAGGGACAGTCCAGTCTTACCAAGCTAAGGCTCTTGGACAGCAGGCCCCTGAAAACATAGTCTAGGGGGACAGAGGGCTAACTATGGGGGGACAGAGGGCTAGACTATGAAAACATAGTCTAGGGGGACAGACAGCGGAGGCCCTGCTGCTGGGTGCCCCCGCTTTCCCTTGGCCCTCCAGACTTGGGGAGGGGTGGTCAGGTCCCCTGGAAGGGCAGTGTCTGGCTAGCCCTAGGGTGGCTGAGGGTGAGGCTGTCAGCTTGGCTGAGTGCGGGCGAGGCGGGGAAGTGTGACTCACAGCTACAGGCTGATGCCCAGGGAGGTCTCAGCACTGAGGCTGTGCGCAGTCCCTGTCCCCCTGGGTCCACGGGCACAGACTCCAGTGCCGTGATTTGGTATCAGCCTCTTTTGCTTTACAAAATCTTACAACTGGACGGTAAGGCACAGGATGGGCAAAGGCTATTTAGGCCAGGCGGGAGCTGGGCCTAGGACCACGGGCAGGACCAGTGTGCGGCTCGCCGAGGCCCTGCTTGGCAGGGGGACAGGGCAGTGGGGTGGCACTGACCGTCTATGACCAGTGAGGCCCTCTGGGTGGGCTTCTTGCCAGACTTGATGCGGTTCTCGTTGATTGCATTCTCGATCTCCTGCAGCTTCCTCAGTGCGTTAAGGTAGGAGGTCTTCCTTTGCTTCCTCAGTTTTTTGCTGACATTGGGGTCACTGGCCAGGCGGCGGGCAGCCTCTGTGATCTGGGACTGGATGGCAAACTCTCGCTCCAGGCGCTCCAGCTCGGCTTCCTGGGGGAGGGGAACACCGAGGCTTTGCACGGGGGAGACGCTGAGCTGGGAGACAGCCGCCGGCCCCTCCCCTGGCCCACAGCCCTGCTCCAGCGAGAGGCATGAAGACCAGGCCTTCCCGCAGATCCAGAGCCCGCTGGCCACCGTTGCCTTTCCACCTGGAGCCCGATTCCTAGAGTGATCTCCTGGGATTCTTCCCATGTTTGCTCACGCGCCTGCGTCTCCCCCGTTCTCCCACACATGCCCCCCTCTCACATATTCTGTTCCCTGGGGTGGGTTGTGCCCCTCTCCTGGCATCTTCTGGGAGCTGCTCTCCGCAAGCTCCGGCTGTCCTCACGCCTGCCCGTGCGCAGAAACCCTGCGCCAGCTGTGAGCCGCCCTCTGGTAGGCAGTGGAGGAGCCGGTTTCTCCCTTAGCTCCTTGGTTGGGATCAGGATCTCCTCCCTCCCTCCCTCCTGGGGAGCTCGCTGCCACCTCTGTCCCTTCCTGGGCTGGCAAGAGTTTCCCTTCACACCCGGGGACACTGCGCGTCAGGCATGCCTGGAGGACCGCGAACGGCACCCTGGGCAGCGTGTGTGCTGCGGGCCCCGGCTGAGCAGCTGTCTGCAGTGCAGATGTGTGCACATGGGCTGCTGGGGCAGGGGGAGGCAGGGGGAGGCAGCTCACGCACTCCTGTGTGAGGGTTTGGGGCTGATGCAGAATCCCCCCAAGTCTCAGGCTGTCCGTTTTCTGATCTCTTCTCAGTGAAGCCCCTCTAATGGAAGCTGGCTGTAAGGAGCACCTGCTACGTTTAGATTTTGGAAGCGGGCTGCTCACCCTCTCAGTAGAGCAGGGGCCAGGATCCTGAGCACCGCCCGGGAGCTTGGAGAAGATGGGGACTGGCTGCCAAAGCCCAAGCCTCATAAACCCCAGCAAACGCATCGCTGGCTGGGCTTCTCCCAGGATCCACTGTAGCCAGAGAGGGGAAAACAAGCCTCCGGCCCTGGGCAGTTCCCAGAGACACTAAAGTCTGACAGGAACCGATGTAACCAGAGGGGGGTGAGCACATTTGTGGCATCAACGCCCTTCCCACTCGGTAGCCCATGAACTAGTCCTGCCCCGTGCCCACCATGCCAGGCAATGTTTCTTCCAGGGACGACAGTCCCTGCCGGATTTCACTCGCTTCTGAGCACTTTAAGCCCAAAGGGGTTGGGACCCAGGAGGGAGAGGAGAGGTGAAGGCTAAGCGGGAATATTTAGATAACAAAATCTTCCCACCCGTCCAGCGCTGTCCACATACGTCCTGCCAGAGGGAGGAAGACACGGACCTGGACTCCTGCCCAGCGCTTCCAGGGACAAAGACCTTCTGTGATTTGGGCTCTGCCGAGCAGCTGTTCCTGGGCAGTTACGATGGCCTTGGCCCAAGGACACCCTGAGTTTTGTGGGAGCTCAGAACAAACCTTGACCCTTTAACTTGCCAGTGGCTCTGTGACCAGGAAAGGAGGTCACATTTCCAGGGGACCCTGGAGTGGTGACACGCCCAGGGGCGTCTCCTGTTGCCCAGGGGGCCTCTGTGGAGTGGATGGAGTATGGGGCACTGACTAAAAGTAGGGGTGTTTTTTAGAGTTTAAGTGCAAGGCGTCTGCCTAACGACAAGGGGAGCTGGCGTCCCTCAGGAGCCGCAGCGACCGCCTGGACTCGAAAAGACCTGACTGCTGGTCTCCCGAATGACCCCTCCTCCACTCTTCCTCTCCACTTGAGCAGCTAATGTTTCCTGAGCCTCACGTGGGAGCCATGTCTGGAGTGTAGTGTGTTTCATACACCGGCTCATTTATTCCCGGGGTGACCCAGAGCGTCAGCATTCGGAACCTCACAGACAGAAGCAGCTGGGAAGAGCGTTCCTTGGGGTGCAGTGCTCGGGTCTGCAATTGTGGCTCCCAGGAGAGTCCCCAGCACTTCCGTGGGCCCAGGGCACGTGGCTGCCTGCTGCCTTCACCCTCGTGATGACCGTGTGTTGCGTTGCGTGAAAACATGTTTCTCCCAACCACTTTCTGAAGAGACTAAAAACCCTCCATCCCGTTCCTGCTGCCTCTCTCTGAGTCCTCTGAGTCCTGACCTCCGAGGCCTCTGTCTGTTACCATGGTCATGGGCAACACTACTCACAATACATTGGGCGTGACACTCCCTGAAGGTGACCCTGATCCAGCAGCGGGTGCACTCGCCCTCCATTTCTCTTGGACTGAAGGTGGACACTCGCCACCCAGCCTGAGGCGCAGTGGTTTTTTTCTTCCCCAAATCTGAATTCTTCAGCCCAGCCCCCATCAGTGCTCCATCCAAAGAGGATAAAAAGCAGTGAACATGGCTCTGTTGAACATAGGTGAGGCCCAGACAGACCACACTTGTGTCGTCGCGTACTCTGAGCAACCCAGTGCATTACGATCACAGGGGGCAGCAGTGATCTCCCTACTTCCGCCTACGGACACACCTTCCCCTTGGTGTTTTCTCCCACCCATCAGACATCAAGCACAGCTCTGATAACAAAGGGCTGGGACCCCTCAGAAGAGAAAGGCCCATGACTGTCACTGGAACGTTCTCTCCAGACTTGACTTAGCCACCGGCAGGAGCCTGGTAGTGTTAGGCAAACAACTCCAACTCCAACATAAGTCGAAATGCCTACTAGGACCAGAAAGCTTAGCCTACCAAGGAGGCCACGCACTCATCATGCAGCTCACTCGAGCAAAGGCAGAAAGGAAGGTGCAGGGACCGCGCAGCTGGGAGTCCTAACAACTGAGGAGAACAAGGATGACAGAATCCAACAGCAGAGGAAGCACGCACCTCTCCCTTGGGCAGGATCTTCTGCTCGTCCAGCTTGAAGGCTGTGCCTATTCTTCTCCGCACAATGGGTGGCTCCTCCCCGGGGTCCAGAGGGTATTCCACAGGGAGTTTGCCTGTGAGCTCCTGCAGTGAATGAAGCACATTGGGAGAGACTGCAAAACACAGCAGAGGCACGCTGGTTGTCTAAGACACACACACACACACACACACACACACACACACACACTTCAGTGCCCAGCTCAACAAATAGATGAGAAGCATCAGCAGGAAGCTGCACCCAATAAGATCTCACAAAACGAGCTTTCATCTCTCTAAAACGCGTGCGAGTGCTCCTGTCTCTACAGACCAGCGGCATTCTGCGGTTTTTCCAAAACCAATTTCTGTCAAGCAAATAAAAGTCCACTGCACTTCGTAATGTTCCACCCTCGTTCCTACGTGGATCTATGAGAGTCCCGTGTGCCTCCTGTGCACCAGGCATGGCCACATGGTAGGAAACAGCATCCCCTACCATCTAAGTTCAGGATTCCTTTCAGATGTGTTTCCTTAGGAGGAGTGGTATCTATATGGCCGATGCCAGAAAAGTACACTACTACACAGTTTGAAGTGGAATATGGGTAGTAATTATTTCCTCTGGTCAGTGCTGAAGGGACAGGCTGAATTCAGAAGACAATTTAAGAGTTTTGCGCCAGGGATATAGCTCAGCCGCACAGTGCCTGCCTGGCGAGCGTGAGGTCGTGAGTTCAATTCCTGGTACCAAAAGAAAAGTTTTAAGAAACTGAAAGCGTAATCTATTTGATTAACAAGACTTCTAAAAAAGTGTTGTGATTTGGGCTCTGGAAACCTAATCGCTATGTGTACAATGATAGTGAGCTTAGGCCGCAGACCTCAAGGAGACCATGACCCTGGGTCCAGGCTGAGGATCTTGGCAGTGACTCAGGATCAGGCTCTACATGCGGGGTCACTGCCGAGCTGCGTACATATCAGTGTGAGGCAGTGCTGACCGCACTGTGGAGCCAGCCATCACTTCGGGGACAGAAAAGGCTGGGCGAGCTGCCTGTCCCTCAGCGGCAAAGCGGGCATGTCCGGGCAAGCCGCGCCTCTGGCTTCCTATCCCAGAGCAGCACGGAAGCTGCACAGAGACTCAAGGGCTGCTGGGATAAGGAAGGACTCCGACTGGCCTGTCGGGGACATTTGTCATCCACACGACACGTTCCTGTGCTGGGCCGCCCAGTGGTGGTGGGACTCGCACCAGTGGGGGACACTGTGGCCGCTTCCCACCCGTGCGCTGAAGGACCCGGAAGCACAGGTGGCACCCTCGTCTCCCGCGCCTCTCCTTGCGCCTGCACAGCCCCTGGACTTCAGTCCCCCAAGTGCGCGGCTCCGCGTAGAGCACAGTGGCCCTCTGAGTCTGAGTCCACACTGCAGCGTCCTTCCCTAGTTTCTTTCTTTTTGAAAACATGGCTCAGATGTCGCCCAGGTAGTTAAGTGTTTACGCTACAACTTTTTAACTGGCTCCCCTCAGAGTCTGTCCCTAAATAACGCAGCTTATGGAGGGGTCTACCTTGTCAGGACGTTTTTGTTTTGCATCTTCAAATGTATAAAAAAAGGAGAGTGAAGTTGTTAACACTGTCACGGATTTAGAAGGCTAAAGTGTCTGTGGTCTTCACATGTATTTTTCACCCATTTTCCACCAGCTGCTCGAAGCTGCCCGAGTCAAGATCTTGGTTCTGCAGACACTTAATTTGATTTTGTGTGTAACCAGAGCTGCGAGGCACGAGATAATTTAATGCCCTGCTGCAGGGCCTCTCTCTATATCCACCGAAAGCTCCCACGGTACCCCAGTCTGGCCGCTCTGCTCCTCACGGGTCAAACAGAGCTTTCTGGCCCGGGAGCTGAGAGGTAGCTGCCTGAGCAGAGTCAACAGCAAGGGCTCCCTGCCCTGTCCGACAGCCGTGCGGGGAGATGCTGGCGGAAGTGTCTTGTTGGGCTCTTTCTTCTGCTCGTGTTATGATTCTGTTGTCAACACTCTTAAGAACTGAGAACCTTGTTTTCCTGATTCTGCCTTTGTTTTGGGGAGCTACAGGGAGACTTCTGGAGCACAGGCTACCCTTGCTTGGACACGTTCCTTACCTCTCCTAATGTGGATTCCTTGTTAGGTTCAGGGACTTTTCCTTTCTTAAAATCAAAACAAGGCTTTACAAATTACTGAAGGCAGACACAAAAGCCTGTATTTTTTCAAGCCTTCATGCATATTCTTTGTAAAAATGTTGCTAATATTAACAGTATCACATAGCACATTCCCCCAGCCAAGCCAATTGCTTTCCTGAGATTTGCAATGGATTTGTACTAATGTGGTTCTGCTTTGAGTGGGCTCCGGTTTAAATCAATCCAGACCATAATTAAGCCAAGTGGAAATGTAACGTGATCTCATTCTGTGGCCCTGTGTCTCCTCTTCCTCTGCAAAGCATTATTACCTGGGGGAGGGGATACACCCCTGGGCTGCCTGGGAACCCCTCCTCCTCCCCTTTCGGAACTGGGTCCCAGCAGAGCTCTTTGTCCTGTGGGGGGGGACCTGACCACGCCTGGGAGCGCACCCCCGCCCCACACTGTGTTCATGTCCACATGTGGGCGCACACACGCACACAGCAATGTGAATTACACAGACCCCTAACAAAGGGTCACGGCACTAACAGAAGAAAGAAATGGAGGTTTCCATAAATACAGAAGTGGACCTCAGGGTCCTCTATATGCTCATGAAAATCGAGCCTGGCCCAGTCACAGGCTGGAGGAGATACTGCTTTCCACAGAATTGAAACCTATCACTAGGCCACGATTTCACTTTTGAAAGACAAGTCAGAGAGACAGCAGACCCCGAGGCTTGCAGGGGGTCCTGTGCACTTCGTGTGGCAGCCTGGGTCACGTGCTGACCACCACTGATGCTTCGTGATGCCACAGACAGAATATCTCCAGGAGAAGAAAAAGCAGCCTGACAGTCCAGGCACAGCGTCTTGGGACGGTGGTGCGGGTCATTCTCCGCAAGAGGCAATGTCGTACGAGAACGTGCTTTGTCAACTGTGGGAAGCATGTGTGCACGGATGGCGGCTGATTGTGGCTTGACATTTGGCCGCTGGCGGGTCCTATTTAGGGTTCTGCACAACCAGCTTCAGCAGGTGACTGGGCCCCTCAACAGCCACTGGCTCAGCTCCCGACCATGCTCATCATGGGGGGGGTGTGTCCAGCATTTGTGAGAGCCCCCACCTCCCTGGGACATCTCCCGCTGTCTCAGGAGGGGGACATCGCAAACCACACAGATGCAGCTGCTCACCGCCTCCCGCAGACACAGCCTTTTCAGTTCCTCCAGCCTCTGGCGCAGCGTCTCCTCCAGCGCTTCCTGCCTGGACTTCAAGGCGGCCAGCATGTCCTTCTTGGCCGATTGAGAGCTGTCTGACTCCTGAGAACCTGCCAATAAACAGCGGGGATAAGAAGGGCAGCTGACAGGGGCCGCACATCTGGATCACTGGTGAATTTAGCTGGAGCCCACACCGTGGAAGTGGATTTGCCCCGTGGGAAAGAGAGCAGGTGCTCAGCTTCCACGGGGGAGGAGTGAGCTTCAGCACTGCCCAGAATTTATCGCCGGTCACAGGACCGGCTGGGAGACTAACACTCCTGAAGAAGATATTTGTCTTTCTTGATTATCTTAAGATATGCCACATGTCTGTCTTAATCTCACTAGCAAATTTTAATACATTGTACACAATGAAAAAGGAAAGTTCAAGCTCATGATTCTGGTTTTCATTTTCTTTTGTCCGCTTCCAAGTGCTGATTTTAATTTGCTTTTACTTAATTTTTTGAGTTTTTGCTTCGTGCAAACATAATGCCTGCTTCTCATAAATTTTTGAAAATGTAGGCAGGTATAAAAATAGTCCATAAACTAATCACCCAGAAATAATTACTGCTAGGCATTTTCTTTTGCCCTTTTTTTTTGCGCATATGTATATTAAAAGTACAATTAGAATTTCACCATATTTTGTTAACTTAGCGCTGGATCACTAACAAACTCCCTCCTAGTAGAAGTTATCCGTATTTTTTCTGTGCTTTCCTGGGTAGAATATCTGTGTGATGACGCCAACAGCAGGCTGTTAGATGTGAAACCTTTGTAGAAGAAGGGAAACTGTGAATCAAACAAAAGGAGAATAAACTGAAATGCCAACAGGAAGAGTGTAGGTGAGACCAAAAGAATAATTTCTCGACTGTAATGTTTAGACCCTGAAATATGTTTCCTGCAGCGACGCTCCTAGACCTCTTTGACCTTGCTGGGTTAAGGAGGGCACACTGCCTTCCGGGAAAAGGACAAGCTGGTGATTGCTTTTCTCATGCCTCCGGTGAGCAGAACTGTTAGAAATGAGCAGGTGATGTTGTGCATTCAAGGGGTCCAGGCCATGCTGTTGACAACAGTGGCAAACCGCCTCGAACGCCTAGTGAAATCAAGCTAATTAAAGATAGGCAAGATCCCTTCCGTGAAAATTATAATACTCTGCAGGGAAAAATTAAAGACCTAAATAAATGCACTACGGTCCTGGATTGGACAGTTGGTATTTTAAAGATATCAACTTGCCATGAATTAAACAGAATATTCAAAGCAATTCCAAGAAAAGTCCCAGCAGATTTTTTTGGGGGGAAGGGGGGAGTAGGAATTGTATTTCCATATGAAACAACTAAATTTTTGGATGGTTCAGCGACCGTGTGACAGATGTGAGAATAATCCAGCTGGGATTCCCAGAGTCAATGGTTTGGTTTGGTTTCTTCCATGGTAACAAAAACATCTGAATAAGAGCCACAGAAAGCTCAAATGAACGCCTATACCTTTGAACCAAACAGCTCTGCTATATTCACCGCCTCCCGCACCCAAACGCACCATCCTACTTTTATTTAAAATCTCCGGGCAGGAAACCCACATCCCTTCCCTCGCCACGCATCTAGACTCTTCTAACCCTAAACGTGAAGATCTCGTAGCACATAAGTACCTTTTGGCTCCGTGTTGGCTTTGTTCTCTTCTTTCCACAGCCCATTTGAGCTTGAAATTGAGAACATCTATCACTGTAGGAACGCACCATCTTTACACCTCCCCGGGAACAAATAAATATGAGCTTGAAAGCACAAGCAGGTAAATGTCATCTGTCATACACTTGGACGCTATAATTAAATTGTATCTCATCCTGGAAAAAAAATCTAGTGCCTTTAAATTGTTCATTCATGGAAGCGACCTTCTGAGCTCTGAATCATGTCTGTGGCTCTCTTTGCTGCAGTTTGCTATGCTTCCGCTACAGGTTTCCAAATCCAATAGCAAAAGCTTGAGCCTCACTGAGACTCCATGACCTCATTCGTGCCTCTCAGGTACTAAATCTATATGGTGACACGTTCATGTAACACATCCTGGGTATTATTGCAGGCTCCCCTTTTCGAAATGGTTCAGGTTTTCCAGCTCCGTAAGTCAATTACCCTGTGCTTATCAGCACTAAAATATCTCCAGTCTATATCCATCTAGTGTGACAAGGCTAAATCATTATGAATCTTAATCTGGTTCTCTCAGTAACAGTCGCCAATCCTGCTTGAAGATACGGGGAAATTTAATGAGGTACTCTCTCCTGTCAGCTAAAAATTTAATAAGAATGTAAAATAATACTGCAAGGAAGTAAGACTTGAGATTTAAAAAACAGGCCAGGGGAAACTCAGGCCCAAGAAGATTAAAGGATTTCTAGCTCAAGTGAAAAATTCAGTTTTCCCTTTCACCCCTGCCTAACCTCTCAATAGGAAATGGTGATTTTTTAAGTCAAATCTAAGAATTAACCCTATTCAAGAACAGCAAAAATCACATTATTAAACTCTAGGAGGAAAAGCACACAACTTTTGGGTGACCGGGTCTCCAGTTATGGGACTAGTTAAGGTTTGGCCTTTAGTTTCAGGGCTCATTAATGCTCCCTAAATTGCTGCTTACAGTAGTGAGCCTAGATGCCAAAGCTGCATAGGATGGGCAGGAGTCTTGGCAGCCCCGTTGGCTCCTGAGTCCTTTCCTGAAGCTGACTCCTGCCTGCCTAACACTGTCTGGCTCAGCTGTGTGCACCTTTAGGCTGGAAACCTCTGCAAGAGGGACCTGGTGCCTGGGGACCAAGTCCCCGCAAAGTGACCGAGCGAGCCTGCTGTGGACGTGCAGGTCGGTGTTAGTGGTAACTGACAGGCTGAGTAGAGGGTGCAATAGGTTTGGGTTTGATGAAGTCTAAACCATGTGACCCAGGGGGGAGTTACCAGCCTGCCCGCCTCGGCACTCAGCACTCCCTGAGATCGTGCATCTGGGGCACTCGGCCCTGAGCCTGGGGCAGGTGAGCCTCAGTCCAGCGTAGAGTCAGCACAAGTGCACACAGAGACACACACGCAACCTAGTAGAACTAGAAAGAGAGAAACCACCACAGGCCCTCCTCTGAGGTGCTCAAGAGGAGCAGGTCAAAGAAAGGAACTTCACTGGTGATTTGGAGCAGGCACTGGGCTCCAAAGCTCACCTGCACCCAGGAGCAACACAGGTGCAGGCAGTGTTTTCAAATTACGTTTCTGGGGCCCCTGGATTTGCAGCTATGTCCTACCATGGACAGAGGTGGGAACAAGGTCTAGGAGACTCGGAGAGGGTCTCCAGGCCAGAGCAGCTCCACACTAACCAGTGTCAGCCCTGGCTGTCAGACTGGATTTGAGAGAGGCCCCAGTGCCATTACCTCTGGAAAGGGGAGCCACTGTCCTGGGGCGGCGCGTGTCCCAGCCGCTCTGTGTCGCAGCGCATGTGAAGTGAGCCTGAGGCTGTCACCCACAACTAAGCGCATGTGGCCGCCATGAGGAGAGGTGGCCGAGTGCCCAGTGAGTTCCGCAGAGAGAGAAGCTCAGGGGCACCTGGAGGAGCCCGACTGCCCCGGGACGCTCCTCACGTCGACACCCCTCAGCTTTCCTGAGCGCGAGGGCGGGGACGAGAGGGGAAGGGGGAGCAAGGCCACCGGAAGTCAGAGGGTGGCAGTTCTCTCTGGCCGGCCTCCTCTTTCGCCTCTGGAAGAGGCTGAGCCTCAGAAAAGCCCTGGGTGTCAGGTCAGCGCTGGGCTTCCAGTTAAAGGGTGAGGAACAGGCAGACTGCGCCGTAGACACAAGGAATTTAAATCAGCATCTAGCTTGAGGGCTGCAATGGGCAGTCTCCACCCCTGATGTACTCACTGCCAGTTGCGGGAACATACAAGATCTCGTCCACGTTCTAAGTTGAGCCTGTTAGAAGTTAGAACAGGTTTAACAGAAGTTAAACCTGCTGTCTTCGGGAGGGGCTGACGGATAAGACATCTGGGTTTTGTGCTACTCAGCAGCGGGAGAGGGGTTACTCACCTCTACGAGCTATCATATTCCTAACCTATAAAGTGCCCTGGATACCTGCCAAGATTTCGCCAAACTTGAAGAATCTGTGCCTTAATAAAAACTGACTCAGAGAGCTCTCTGTTACTGTCAGCAGTCACTGCTGCAGTTTTTACAAAAAGGAACCATCTACAGGGCACAATCTGCCTTCCTCTTCTCCCCACCCAAACCTCTGGAGAAGACAAGGGTTCTGACACATCTGTCCTCTCTTTCATTTACTGAGATAGCCTCCTGCGGTTGGGAGGGCAGATCTAATTAGCATCCGGTGCCTAAAGGATTTTCCACTTTCTCTCATCCACAGGCCAAAGCAAATATTTGTAAGGTTGAATGCCAAATGGAGTTTAATCGGCGCTGTCTTTAAGATTAATGAAGTAGGGAGATGGACGGACACCTTTACTCTATCTAGAAGATAGAACTTTCAAGGTGTACAGACGGAAGAAATAGTAGCCAAGTGCTGCTTAGAGAGATGTCCGAGTCTAACGAGTTGACAGAAGAGTCCAGGGAAAAAGCGAGGTGTTCTGAGTATTTTTGAAAGATACACAGAACGCATCATTTTTGGGGGGTAAGGTGTCAAGCAGTGTTCAGCAACACTTAAACATCTAGGAGTGTGTGAATATTTGGCAAACACAGCTGGAACTATGGCCTCCCGGAGCAGAGGTCTGCGGTGCGGTGGCTCTGGGCTAACAGCGCTGCTGCGTTTCAGCTGTGCTCGCGACAAGCTCCAGGTCTCAGGCAGGCCACACAACCTCTCCCGGGTTTCAGTTTCTTCCCCTGTACATCGCGGGTGAAAACCTGAGTTCTTTTTAAAAGTTGGGAGATGAAGGCTCAGAACCTAGGAGGTGCCGTGTGAACACCGGGGGTCATTCTAGTTACAGAGTGTCCCAGGCTTCGTTAGGGGGTGGCATCTCAATTTCAGAGGACGCCACAGTGCAGGAGAGGAAGTGGGCAGGGTGGACAAGCAAGGACACATGGTCCCGTGGCTCAGGAAGCTCAGGAGAGGATTTTTACAGGGCTTCTCCTGCCAC